CTTCCTCGAGTTTGGATATCAAACCAAAATATTTGTTCAACAGGTCGCGCTTCTCACTATCCTCATAAACTATGGCATTGAAATCCTCACCGTTTATTATGTTTTGAAGAGGAGGAATATTATTTGAACTCTTGTTCGACTTAATTAACATTTTCATTATTTTCCAATAGTTTTTTGAATTTGGAGCATTACTCAATATAATATTATCTAAATTAGTTTCAAATATTTCCTTAGCTGTCTTTTTTAAATTGTTAACTGTGTTTCTCTGTTTCTTGTACTTCGCAACATCCGATTCTCTTTTATATTTCAGGGCATTTTTTCTTAAACGTTCTCGTTTTCGAATTTCTCTTTTTAATTCACCATTAAACCATGGTTTATCAGAACTACGTATAGTAACTAATTTAGTTGGAATGCACTCCCTCGCGATATTTAAGAATGTTTCAGTAAAGATTCCAGATAGTTCATCCACATCTTTATTATCAGGAAGCAGTCAACGTCGTCCATTTTTTTCAGAAAATTTAACTGTATCAACTTGTTCATAAATCCACACTTCTATTTTATACGAACGTGTAACAGTTGTCGGACACTCGAGAAAAATGATTGGTGCATCGTGGTCGCTTATATTAGCAGGCGTTGGTATAACATCTGAGATATAATACGACAAAGTGTCACTTAAAATAATTGGATCGAGTAGTGTGCTACTATGATTTGTCATTCGAGTTGGTTTATCAATAACATTTCGTAAATTAAATATATTTTGAATTTCTATTAGTTTGTTGTTCTGCGTCTTGAATAAGTCACTGTTCAGGTCACCCGTAATAACGATATTTTCATTGAATTGATAAGCCAATCATATTGCATGATTTAAGCGTGTCCAATAATGACCGTCTGTCAATTCGGGAGGTCGATAGGTATTACAGAGTAAGAATGTTTGACCTTTAGCACGGATTTCAACCCAGAGAGATTCATCTGATTGATTTTCAAGATCATTTCTACGAAGAATACCAATATCGTCTTTAACATAAATAAGGAGGCCGCCGCCAAAATTGTTACGATCTTTTCTGATGATTTTTTTTGAAAATGAATTAAGTTCTATATCTTTGTCGCATATATTTGAATCTGTGATAGCTTAAATATCAAATTCATCACTGAAATTGTCTAGGAACTCTAGTTTATTCCTTATACTACGGATATTTAAAGTGCATATTGAAATGGATTTTGCATTGACCGTTAAGGGTGTATTCGATTCCTTCATTTCACTAGGACCAGGATTTGTTTCAATATTCCCAATAATTAGGATGGAGTGAAGTACAAAACAACAGAAAAACTATGTCGATGTTTGGATTTACTGACTGTAGAAGAAAAAGTGAGAACATTAAACAAGTAGACCGTAAGTTGGTTATAAACATTTCGTAATAAGAACATAACCGACAGTCGTGAAATTTGAAAGACTTTTTTCTTGTCATATGAAATGAACCTATGGCTGCCCTGTAGTCTTCTATACTGTTACCCATTTGGGTTCAGTATAGCAAATAAGTTACAGCAAATAGCAGCCAAACGATCCATGCATACCTGAAAATACACACACAACACCATCATCATCATCATAGAAACAAAATGAAAATATATATACAAAATATCACAATGTATGAACAAAATTGATTCGGATTTTAAGTGGTATATTAAGCATATCTATGATGTTTTCATATGTATACACGTTTTATTTTTTATCTCAGTTTTAGTGTTTCAATATAGCACTAACGATAACAATGTTAAGTGCGCGTAATTGCTTAAATTATAAAACCCAGCATATAGACATAGACATATGTTTTTCAACTAGCAGAGACCCTTGCAGGTTTTAAGTTTCAGATAATGATTATAACGATTTGTTACGTTAATTCGATGGATTTGTTAGAGGTTATAAAAATAAGAAGATGTGGTAAGATTACCAATGAGACATCTCTCCACTAGAGACCAAATGATTCAGAAGTCAACAACTATAGGTCACTGTACAGCCTTTAACAATGAGACATCTCTCCACCAGAGACCAAATGATTCAGAAGTCATCAACTATATGTAACTGTACAGCCTTTAACAATGAACAAATCCCATACCGCATTCTCAGGTATAAAAGGCCCCGTAAAAACAAATGTGAAACAATTCAAACGAAAAAACTTAACGAGATGCATATACAAAGCAATGAACGAAAACAAATATGGTATACCGCAATGAACGACAATCACTAAACTACAGCTTCCTAACTTGGAACAGACACGATGTGGCGGGGTTAAACAAGTCTGAAGGCGCTCCAACCCTAAGCTTTACATAGGACAGTTACATCGGACAGTGGTGTTGCAGTACAACATAACATCAAACTATTGAAATAAGTTGGAAAGAGTTTTACTCATCAGATCGATACAAAGCAAAAAAAAACATATAACAAAAACACAGATTTAATGTGAAGACGTAATTTACAGCCAGAGATACACATGATCCAGTGCAATGCCACGATACAGGCATATGTGTATAACAATAAGGTTTGTAAGTTTGATTTTGATTTACTGATAACAAAATCAATATTCATACTAACCAAAACAATAGTCAAAGATTTAAATACAGTGTTGAACTAATCTTACTTTGACCTTCCCGTTAATAATAAATTTCTAGAATAAATAAGTTAAGTATTTAAAGCATTGATAAGTTTACCAGATCGTATCTTAATTTCGATGTTCGTTAAACAACATCTCTGTACAATTTAGGATGTGCTTTCGAAACCTAATGTTTGTATCGATGGAAGAATGTAATTACAGTTTTAAGTAATTTGTAATAAAAAAAAAATCCTGATTTAATAATTTACCAGTTATAAAATTGAGAATGGAAATGGGAAATGTGTCAAAGAGACAACAACCCGACGATAGAGCAGACAACAGCCGAAGGCCACCAAAGGGTCTTCAATGCAGCGAGAAACTCCCGCACCCTGAGGCGTCCTTCAGCTGGCCCCTAAACAAATATGTATACTAGTTCAGTGATAATGGACGTCATACTAAACTCCAAATTATACACAAGAAACTAAAATTAAAAATGATACAAGACTAACAAAGGCCAGAGGCTCCTGACTTGGGACAGGCGCAAAAATGCGGCGGGGTTAAACATGTTTTTTGAGATCTCAATCCTCCCCCTATACCTCTAGCCAATGTAGAAAAAACAAACGTACAACAGTACGCACAGTAAAACTCAGTTTAAGAGAAGTCCGAGTCCGATGTCAGAATAGGAAACAAAAGAAAATAAACAAAATGACAATAATACATAAATAACAACAGACTACTAGCAGTTACTGACAAGCCAGCTCCAGACCTCAATTAAACTGATTGAAAGATTATGTCTTCATCATATGAATATCAGGCACAATCCCTCCTGTTAGGGGTTTAGCATTATACCGTCATAAAATATATGAGAAGAACACAACCCGTGTCATGCCAACAACTGGTTTTAGAATAAATATGTTTAATTCCGATGCAAAGACCCTATAAGTGAATCAAAATTAAAGCCAAAATATGCAATCTTTAATGACCTGACAACAGTATCGTAACTATATCCCTTCTTAATAAGTCTGTTTAAAGGTTTTGTTAGCTTTTGAGGTGAATACTGGCATTTTTGTGCTTTGTAAAGAATATTACCATAAAAGATAGGATGTGAAATACCCGAACGTATAAGATGTCTGCATGTTGAGTTATATTTACGAATGATGTCCTTATACCGATGATAACATTTAGTAAATGTTTTGACTAGTTTATGATATCGAAAACCCTGGTGTAATAATTTTTCAGTAATATATAAATTTCTCTCGCTAAAATCTAATACGTTGTTACATACACGAGCGAATCGTACAAGTTGAGATATATAAACACCATAAGAAGGTGACAAGGGAACGTCACCATCTAAAAATGGATAATTAACGATAGGAAATGAAAAATCATCTCTTTTATCATAAATTTTTGTATTAAGCTTCCCGTTAATGATATAGATATCAAGATCGAGGAAAGGACAGTGGTCATTGTTAGTATTAGCTTTATTTAAAGTAAGTTCAACAGGATAAATTTCTTTACGTTCATTGAAATTTTAACTTTCTTTCGAAATCAAAACTTTTTTTATATGTGTGTTCAGATATATTTTACACAGTTTTAAAAGATGTTTACGCCTGAAAAGTCTACAATCAAATTATCGTTCATTAATAGAAACACTTCATGTGATGGTATTAGAACCGGGGGAGGGTTGAGATGTCACAAAACATGTTTAACCCCGCCAGTCAGAAACCTCTTGGCTTTGTTAGTCTTATGTGTTTTTAAAGTTTTGTTCATAAATATGTTTTGGATTTTTAGTGGCTTCCATTTTGCTGAATAGTAAACAATATTGTTACGGGCCAGCTGAAGCCCGCCACCAAATGCAGGATTTTCTAGATGCGTTGAAGACCTAGTGAATATTAAGACTAAGAGAAGTGATATAATTTCCGATGGGACAACTACCCACCAAAATTCTAATGAAGTGGACATAATCAATTATTAGTCACCGTATGGCCGTCACCAATGAATAAAACCTATACCGTATAGTCTCTTGGTCTTTTACTTTTTTTTGCCATGGTGTTGTCAGTTTATTTTCAACATATGACTTTAAATGTCCCTTTGGTTTTTTTTTTGTCTCTTTTTTAAAGAATTGTTATAATAGGCGAATGTATACTGCTAGTACTAAATATATATCATAGTGCCTCGAATAAAAAAAATACGTTCGTCTTTTGATCAAGATTCCCAAGCAAATTAAGTACGCCGTCATACGATAACAATGATTTTATCATCTATCAAGTTACAACACAAAATCAACTTATAGAAAGTTTACCAAATCAAGATTGTATTCCCCTTGTTTGCTTTGTCTGATCATTTCATTATCCCAAAAGAAATTGTAGTAACGAAATTTATTTTAGCATGCTATATTCTTACTTAGAAACAGAGAAAAATTACAATAATCTGGATTAAACTTGACAAAACAATGGCGGAATCAGAAGAAGAGATGGGTTTTTTGCGGATCATCAGTTTGCTGTATAAAGTTGCTCCTTCTGCTGTGAGGGTTAAATTTGACAAAGAATTTCATCCAACAAAAGGACTAGAGACGGCTTTAAAGCAAGACAAATTTAAAGTCCTAGAACCACTAAAAAGAAGGAGAGTCATTAATCAGACTCAGTGGGATTTATTGTTTCCATCGTCAGGTAAAATTTAGTTTTAAAGAAAATGACTAATTTGGAGATAAAGGATTGTATTCGAAGATTTGCGGAAATTAATTGGCGATTGGTGGTCGCAAATCAAGTTTTTACTATGATTGCATTATTACTATTGTTACTAATTATAATGTGTACCGCTTTTTTCACTAATTCATAAAAACTACGTGAAGTAGAGCTGTATATATCCTGATCGAATTATCGATAAACAGCAAAACTTTAAAACTTTGTAGACATGGAAAACTTTAGAGCATATTTCTATCATTTTACAATAAGTCCAAAATACTTTTTAAATTTGATTTGTTTAGTCGTTAGCTTTAAAATATTCTTTTATGAATATTACAATTACTTTTATAACGTGTTTGCGCATCTCATAATAAAGCAAATACTAAGTTGCTATCTGAAAGGCACAAGTGATTTTAACATAAGACTGGTCACGGAAAAGTATTTGCTTTCTATGAGTTACTAGAACAAACTAAATAGTACTGTTACATACATAATCATGTATCGGTTCAAAATAGATATTTTTTATTCAAAATATTAATCATATAAAATATAAATATATATGCCACACCTTCCTAGACACATATTGATCAGAATCGCTACATATTGATACGTTTAATTATTTTAATTATTTACCTTTATCAGGCACTGTCACTTCAAAGAAATTTGACTTGACATTGATGATCTGCTTGATTCGACACCTCACGCCAATACAGATAGGAGACATTTTACCACTTAAGTCAGATGTCAGTGACGGGGCAGATTTGTCCAGGTTGAAATACTACAGAAACATGTTTGCACATCATGATGCATGGACGTTGACCAATAAAGATTCCGAGACATATTGGAACGACATTTGTCAGGTAACTTCGTACTTAAACGTTATTAAACAAAATAATGTCAATAGAGAGACAAGTTGAAGGTCATAGCGAAACTGTAAACACATTCAACGATCGAGATGATAAACAGTTAAAGAAAAGTTTCCTTTTTTCTATTACATGTAAGCACAATTAGACTATCGGTCATCGACGGTCGTTTTCGTGCCTTTGTCCAATGTAAATTATACCATATAGGTGTAGATATGTTTCTGTTTGGTCGTATAACTGTTGACGTGACTCGGTATCTGTCCATCCCGCCATTGGTTTTTGACTTTGTAACTTTGGGCATTCCTGTTGTTGAGGTGCGGTTTGTACACAAAGGGTTTAACAGTGATGCTTCTATTTTGTTTACAAATGTATTTATATTTAATTTTTACTTTTATCGGGAATGTGTACACTGTATGTGGTATGTACTATCAACGAGGAAAACTTTATTTGACAAATTTACAAAACGTGCGTCTGGCGTACAAAATTTTGATTCTGGTATCTGTGATGAGTTTATCTATACCTTTTTTGTTGGCGTCTTTGTTAGATTATATTGTATGTTTTTTTTTCATTATTTTTTAGTCAGTTGTCTTGTATGTCTGTAATGTATGTTTACACAGTTTTAGCTGCTGGATCCAAATTATTTTCACATTAATCTATTATGTCTGTTTGGGTGGCTAACCCAGTTTGGTCAATATAAAGGAACTTTAATCAACTGTCATACAAGTGGGAGGTTTATTAAGCTAAAACATCAGGTTGAAACCATTTTCGTAGGTAATGTACCAGGTCAGGAATATGGCAGTTGTTTTTCACTTAATCCGTCGATTTATAACGTTTGATTTTGGCTTTATTGACCTTTTTTAATTTGTCTTTAAGTTCGGTATTTTTGTCATACTTTTTGCGCTTCTGAAATGTTTAAAAAGAAACAGCATTGTCTTTAATCAAAACATATTGACATAATATACGACAAGTATATTACAAAGAAATATTAAAAGGTACACAGATAAATAATAATATTTCTTGCATGGAATAAATCATTAGAGCATTTATTGGTGCATGTGCATGACAGTCTAGGACATGTCATATATGCAGTTTGATTGTTCTAATGTCCATAAAATGGTATAATATTCATTAGTATTTGTACAACTCCTATAACCTCAGGCAAGTAAATCACTCTTCATTGATTTAGTTGACTCGAGTGCCACCAACAAATAGAAACGGCTGTCAGGTGCACTAAAGCAAACGTATGTAATCTTTGAAAGATTTGTTTCTATTTGACGTAAGTGCAATCCCTTTTTGGTGTCATCAAACACCTAAGTAATCGCACACTTAACTTTCGTGGGGTTACTGTACGATGTATTTATGTTAGATACTATTGATAAGAAATTACTGCAGTTTCCAACTTACTGTGTTTAGTTTATGTTAGGCCCTTCTATGTTTGTAGCTTCCATTTGCATGATTTGTTGTTAAAGTTGGCTGTCTTAAATAATTAAAATGCATATCTAAAACATCAAACGCGGACAAACGTTTTGCTGACAATTTGACACAGTTATATTATTGGTTCTCCCTACAGGCTATATTAAATCTTGGTGGACCACAATTTAAACAAATGTGTGAAGACCTAAAAGATAAGGTACTGAACAACAATGATAAGGACATACTGGTAGAATTAAGAAATTCACAGAAAGAGTCAAGTCAGGTTCCAAAAGCATTACAAAGTAAGCAAAGAATTGGCAATTTTGTATATCTAAATAACAAATTTTAAAAGTTACAACTTTTTACGAAACTAATAATGTTCTAGGATACTAGTAATCGTTCCAAATAAATCAAACAAATGAAAATATATCTTTTGTCTTCAACATTTTCGTTGGAAGCTTCTGTTTGATCGATGTCTGCTGTGAAATGATTTTCACCAACCACATCTAAAGTATTTGTAGTAGGATTCACATAATTGAGGTTTTGTATAAAACAAAAATTATTAGAGAATGAAAAGGCAACCAAATAACAACAAGAAAACAAATCCGAAAAAAAACATTAAAGAATGTGTTCAATAATCAATATTTATATATCAAATATATACTCTATTAAGAAAAGTTTTTAATGATACAAGATTCCGTCAAAATACTTAATTTTGTAAAAGACAAATATTAAAGAACGTCATGTCGTTAGATTGATTTTAACTATCTCCTATTATTAATAATTTAAAATATTGTTCTGCATTGTTTGTTTTATTTGTTTTATTTATATTCATAGAGTTTTTCTATTTGTCAACGTTTTGTTAAATTGTAACCTATTGTGTATATAGAAATCCATGAAGATTTAATATACGAATGGGGAGAGGATAACAATAAAGTTGTGAAAACCAGAGCTATCCATCATATAGAAGAACTTCTGAAATCAAAAAATGTTATTGTGGCGGTAGGTTCATCAGGATGTGGGAAATCCACCGCAATTCACCATGTTGCCCTTCAACTTCATAAACAGGAAGGTTATTATATTGTTCCTGTCCACAGTCCAGAAGACATTATTCAATACTGCGAACCGAAATATAAACAAGTTTTTGTAATCGATGACGTTTGTGGCAAATCTACCATAGATATTGGACTCGTCAATCGTTGGACAACATTGGCAACTGATATAAAACAAATACTTGAGGATCACAAGATAAAAATCTTGTTATCATGCAGAAAGCACATTTATCTTGATCGTTTATTTGAAGGTGTAGAACTATTGTCAAAAACAGCCTGTGACTTTGTTTCTAGTTACAGTCTAACAGAAATTGAAAGAAATCAAATAGCAAGTATATACTTAACAGAGAGTGAGATAAATGTTATTAGAATGTCAGGACTAGTTGAAAAATTTAGCTTCTTTCCTTTATTATGTTGCCTTTATTCCAAACAGAAATTAACCGGTATTCTTAATTTCTTTGATAATCCGGTGAGTGTTATAAAAAGTGATCTAGAATTGTTGAGGAAAGCGACTGATCAAACAACATTGGCCACGATGAGTCTGTTCATTGCTTTTAACAATAGTTTAAATGAAAACATGTTATCAAGATCACACGGTATGACAGAACTGTTGGAAATCATATCCGATCACTTTCATCTTCCAGCGGGGTTTTCAATAAAAGTCGTCAAGTCTGAATTACAAAAACTTGAGATGTCTTATGTGAAGAAAACTGTAACTACCTACAGAATACTTCATGACAAGATATATGATATTTTCCTATCGTTTTGTGGGGAACATTTCTTTGACCTGGTTCTTGAGGTAGCCCATAGAAATGTAATACGAGATAGATTTGTATTAGAATCAATACGAAGTGAAAACAAAAAACTAACAACGGAAAAAAATGTTATAACAGTTCCTGATACAGAGGAAAACCATTATTTTAAACGAATTTTGAAAGACATTCAAAAAGGTTCCATTAAGGACATATTTTTTAATAGGCAGTTCAAATGTTTGACTTTCCGCAATAAGTTGTTTCAATATCTTCGGCATGAACTCGACATAAAGAAAGTTTTACTTGATGTGCCAAGTGAAGACTTATCAAATATACTACTATCGATGACCCGTCAATGTTACTGGGACATGGTACCAATTCTTTTAACAGAACATGTAGATATAAATGTAAGGGACTGGAAAGGTACACCTCTGTCTTTTGCTTCAGAGAAAGGAAATGTTGACATTTCAAAGTTACTTTTAGATCATCACGCTGATCCTAATATGAAGGGTTGGTTAGAAAAAGGGAGTCAAACACCTTTGCATTTAGCTGTAGACACAGGGAACATTGATTTAATACATTTACTCTTCGCTCATCATGCTGATGCAAATGTAACTAGAAATGTTTCTGGTTTTGATGATGCAACGGAAACCCCTTTACATGTTGCTTTACAACAAAAAAACGAGAATATTGTAAAATTATTGTTAGACCATAAAGCCGATTGTAATCTTCATGATCATTTGAATAGAACACCGTTATATGAAACTGTCAGACAGGAGAATCCTAATCTGACTATATTGCTATTAAATCACGGTGCTGATCCTAATATTGGTGATAAGGACAATACTAATACACCTCTTCATGTAGCTTTTAGTAAGGGTAATATTGATATGATAAAGATATTGTTAGATCATAAAGCAGATCTTAACATCAAAAATGAGGACGGTGATACACCGTTATTTCGAGCAGTTGAGAAAAATCATACTGATATTGTAAGAATTCAATTAAAGCATAAATCTGATCTAAAAGTATGTAATAATAAAAATGAATCATTATTGTTTACAGCATCAAGGATGGGTCATACTACTATTGTTGCGTTATTATTAGAAAATAACTGTGATTCCAATGTTTGCAATAAAAAACATGAATCTCCTTTATTCATATCTTCATTGTTTGCTCATGCTGGCACTTTAAAATTGTTGTTAGAACATAAGTGTGATCCTAATATATGTAATGATATGAATATATCGCCTTTATTTGCTGCATCTGAGAATGGACATACTGATATTGTTAGATTATTGTTAGAACATCATTGTGATCCTGGAAAATGTAATAATGATAATGTATCACCTTTGTTTGTTGCATCTGCGAATGGACATGTTGATATTTTAAGATTATTATTAGAACATAACTGTAATCCTAACATGTGTAATGATAGAAATGAATCACCTTTATTTATTGCTTCAAAGGAGGGTCACATTAATATTGTAAAATTATTATTAGAACGCAGCTGTGTTAATATGGAAAATGAAAACAAAATATCATCTTTTTTTGCCGCATCTGAGAATGGGCATACTGATATTGTAAGACTTTTTTTAGACCACAACTGTGATCTGAATAGCTTTAATAAAAGCGAAGAATCATTTTTATCTGTTGCTTCTAAGAAGGGTCATATTGATATTGTAAAATTATTGTTCGAACACAACTGTAATCCTAACACTTGTAATGATAAAAATGAATCTGCTTTATTTGGTGCTTCTAAAACCGGTCGAACTGAAATTGTAAAATTGCTATTAGAACAGAACTGTGATCCGAATTTTTGTAATGATAAAAAAGAATCGCCTTTATTCATAGCTTCAATGTATGGTAAAACTGATATTGTGAAATTATTGTTAGAACATCATTGTGATCCTAATATTTGTAATGAAAGAAAAGAAACACCTTTATTTGCTGCATCTAAGTATGGACATATTGATATTGTTCGATTATTGTTAGAACACAACTATGATCTTAACATTTGTAATGATAAAAATGAATCGCCTTTATTCATTGCTTCGACGTGGGATAAGTCAAGAGTAATGTTTCTTGGTCACCGTTTTTTATTCGATTTATTTTCATCTCAACATAGTTATAATCAAATTGTCAAATTGTTGTTGGAACACGGCTGTGATCCTAACACTTGTAATGCAAACAATGAATCAGCTTTATTTGGTGCTTCTAAAAACGGCCAAATTGGTATTGCAAAATTATTGTTAGAACACAACTGTGATCTGAATATGTGTAATGATAAAAATGAATCGCCTTTATTCATAGCTTCAATGTATGGTAAAACTGATATTGTGAAATTATTGTTAGAACATCATTGTGATCCTAATATTTGTAATGAAAGAAAAGAAACACCTTTATTTGCTGCATCTAAGTATGGACATATTGATATTGTTCGATTATTGTTAGAACACAACTATGATCTTAACATTTGTAATGATAAAAATGAATCGCCTTTATTCATTGCTTCGACGTGGGATAAGTCAAGAGTAATGTTTCTTGGTCACCGTTTTTTATTCGATTTATTTTCATCTCAACATAGTTATAATCAAATTGTCAAATTGTTGTTGGAACACGGCTGTGATCCTAACACTTGTAATGCAAACAATGAATCAGCTTTATTTGGTGCTTCTAAAAACGGCCAAATTGGTATTGCAAAATTATTGTTAGAACACAACTGTGATCCGAATATGTGTAATGATAAAAATGAATCGCCTTTATTCATAGCTTCAGTGTCTGGTAAAACTGATATTGTGAAATTATTGTTAGAACATCATTGTGATCCTAATATTTGTAATGCTAAAAATGAATCTCCTTTATTTGTTGCATCTAGGTTTGGTCATACAGATATTGTTAGAAATTTTCTTCAATACAATTGTGATCACAATATTTTTAATGAAAGAAAAGAAACACCTCTATTTGCTGCATCTAAGTATGGACATATTGATATTGTTAGATTATTGTTAGAACACAACTATGATCTTAACATTTGTAATGATAAAAATGAATCACCTTTATTCATTGCTTCGACGTGGGATAAGGCAAGAGTATTGCTTCCTGATCGCGATTTTTTATTCGATTTATTTTCGTCTCAACATAGTTATACTCAAATTGTAAAATTGTTGTTGGAACACGGCTGTGATCCTAACACTTGTAATGCAAAAATTGAATCAGCTTTATTTGGTGCTTCTAAAAACGGCCAAATTGGTATTGCAAAATTGTTGTTAGAACACAACTGTGATCCGAATATGTGTAATGATAACATAAATCGCCTTTATTCATAGCTTCAGTGTCTGGTAAAACTGATATTGTGAAATTATTGTTAGAACATCATTGTGATCCTTATATTTGTAATGCTCAAAATGAATCCCCTTTATTTATTGCTTCAGAGAGGGGTCATATCAGCATTGTAAAATTATTGTTAGAACACAACTTTGATTCTAACATTTGTAATGATAAAAATGAATCAGCTTTATTCATTGCTTCAAAGATGTGTCATACTAATGTTGTAAAATTGTTGTCGGATAAAAACAGTAACATCAGAACACAAAATGAGAGTGATGCATCTTACTCGTTGTTTAAATTTTATGTTTAACAAAATAATACAGGGGAAGGTATGAAAGAATGGAAATCATCACATTGTCTATTAAAAGTGTGAAATTCTTCAATGCATTCAACGTAATGATGTATAATAACTTGGTTTTTTTTTTTAATTATGTTTGAAAATATCGATAGGATATTTTTTGTACAAAGTTGTATGCTGACTTTGTGGCTCATTAATGTTAACCGACTTTTGGCGGATCTATGGCCATTGGGCAAGGAATTATATGATATTTTTACTTTGTAATGCTTGCCTACTATTGACCTGATATTTTTGTACATTAGTGTATAATGATTACTTATAATTGATTTGGCTAATGTTCCCATGATGAGTATGAAATACACACCTAGTGAACTAAATTATTGTCCGTGTATCTTGATGAGCTGTACATGTTGGGTTAGTGTTTCGTTTCGGTCAACTTTTTACGATAAGGCTGCAGACATGGTCATTTAAGTCGTAACAAAACCTTTAGTTTTACTAATGACTAACATGAGGGTATAATATTGTCACTTTTGTATTGGGTGTGAAACAGGGGGATGTGAGACAACTATACACCAGAGTCCGAATGATGTGCATGCTAGGACAATTAAAAAAATGAGGACATGTCGGAAGATTGCAAATAAGACAAATATCCATAGAATAAAGAACAAATATCCGATCAATTACATGTCATCGCATGGTCCTCAATAATGAGCGAATTTTAAATTGTATAGTAAACCGTAAAAAGCAGCGGTATGAAAAAATTATAAACAAAAGAGGAAACCATGTGCCTGATTTATTTTTCTACAGCAATTAGTGAAAATCATTATAACATAAGTTTGTAATAATCGATAAAGTTGACCAACAACTACCATTTTCGTTAAGTTTCAAATAACTTTTAAAAAATTGAATATGATCATTTGCCTTATTCAAAGGTGTTCGTAAAAACTCAAGACTGAGCAACACGAACTTCACTAAAACCTGTGATCTGAGGTGCACCGGTAGGGTTAGCAGATCCTGCTGTACTACAGGCACCCGTGTCAACATCTACTATTTCTTTCTGATTTTAAATTAGTTCAATGACAAAAATTAGATATTGAAGACGATGTTAGAATATTTGATTATTGATACCTACACACCTGAATTATATAATGTAATGGGTTAATAATAAATTCAGGGGGGGGGGCAATAATTAGCTTTTTATGCCTTTTTTTAGTTTATATAAGTAAAGACTGTAGCAATGGAGAAAAAAACATAACGATTGTTGTGTTTTTAAACTATTGTGTACATTTTTACATTTTTCGTACATTTTTGTAAATCAAATGATCAAACTTTACTATTATATTTAAATAAAGATAGATGATATAACTAAGCCTTGATTTATTGTCCAACAACAATTAAAGAAAGCCCAAGAAGATACCAAAAAGGGTCATCGAACATCATATGTCTAATGAAAACAGACAATACAACGGCTAAAAAATAGAACAAAGACGAAATTACATACAGTTATTACAAAACTTTACATAGAAAATTAAAGCCTGAGCAACACAAACTTAACAAAAATCGAGAGTGATCTCAGGTACCCCGAAGGAAAGGAGTTCCTGCTTTACATGTGACACCTATCATGTTGCTGATGAAATTGAAAATCGGATAAGACTTGGTGAATACGTCATAAAGACACAACCCCACGACACAAATGGAGAAAAAGACCTCTTACGATGAATATATTTGTAGGACTCTAAAGTGCGATGGGGACGCTAAAACGCGATGGTCACGTTAAAGAGCGATGGTCTACGCTAAAGTGCGATGGTTTGATACGAAAAAGTACGATGGTCTGTGTTATTAAATGGAACACGCTAAAGTCCGATGGCTCAATACGCTAAAGTGCGTTTTCCCGACAACAATGGAAATCATCAAAAATGAAAAAGCGGATTACCTTAATAGTGATGATGTGTATGAAACACTTTAGAAACCATATTTTTCAATAGTTCGGTAAAATTATTTGATAAAGTAATATAAACTTAATGTTGCTTGTTGAACGTACAGTGGCAAATATCACATGCATATACAGGACGATCATACTCATGATCATTTGATCTTTTATTCTGAAATAATTTTAGTATTTCTACTATTCATGTTAAGGTTACAAAATATAATTGAACTAAAGAGGAAAAGGAGATGGCTCACTTGGACGTTGAGGAATTGAATTCGTCCAATTTTAATTTAGCAGCTTCTTCTATGTTTTTAATCAGATGTTATGAACTTGCGTGAAATAAATTCTTCTTTTTACTTTCTAATGGAATCATTCTATAAAACATTTTTTCACAATATGGTTCGTTATTTCCGTTAAAGATATGGAAATACGTCAACTAGACAGTAACCTAACGACCAGATAGACCAAATGTCATTAATGTAAGCAACTATAGGTTACCGCATGGCCTTTAACGCGGAGCATTGGCTATCACGGCATAGTATTCTAACTTGAACGTACATGTATATATACTAGCAACTGCAATGTACCCATTACACTTTTTTGAAAACTATCGTACTTTGAATAAAAGAATGAGACACATATATACCCAAGACCAAATGTCGTTGATATATGCAATAATAACTATCGCAATTTAGAGTCCTACATGTTTATACATTAATAATTGACAAGAATTTGCAAAAGGACTTACGTGTAAATGAATATACAGAAGTATTAAATGTCACCAAAAAGCCCTGAATAAATTTGCTTGAAAAACAAAACAAAAACATGAGACATAACCGAATAAAAACAACAGTTTTGAATAGGTACATACGCATAAAGAGCAAATATATTTTGTGTCTGAAACTTTGCTGGATTCAGATATATACAAACTGACTGTACGATCTTTCTTATGAGACACATAGACGCTAATGCATAGTAAGCACTATCCTAAGTAGAAGCTTTCTTTTGAGTTGTTTTATAGTGTAAGGAAACATATTACCTTTTAGCTGTATTTAACATAACCGTTCGGAATTTTAGGTCCTCGATGTTCTTCCAACTGCGTACTTTATGAGCCTTTCAGAAATTGTTTTCTTTAATCGTCGCTGGTCTTTTGAAACGTACGTTCTGGCGTACATTCTTTAAACACTGGTATATATGATGAGTTCATCTACAATGTTTGTCCATTTTCAAAAGTCCTAACTTTGCTAAAACCTCATGAAACCTGGGCCCAGATGCGGTAAAACGTAATTTTGACTATGACATGCAAAGTTAACGTCGACGAGCACCTGCAAAATATTTGTTCACTGCCTTAAAAACAATATTTCTTCACTAATTATATCACAGCTTACCATGTGTGCGTATTTCGTTATTGTCCTTATATATTAAATATTCATTTTAACACGATTCCGTATTTCGGCCTGTTCTAGTTTCTTTTTGATAAGGAAAGGAAATTCTAGAAGGATAAAGATCGAAAATAAGGACACTGTTTCCATGTATAAACTGTTTTATTTGAAGAGAAGGATATTTGGGTATACATCGTTGAGACCCACATGCACTGACAAAACACGAATAAAATAACATTGATCGAATATACATTTTTTCATATGATACAAGTGTCAATGGACACTTTTAGCTGCTCAGTCTTGTTAGTCTGCGATTTTACTTCACAATACACAAGATTTGACCAAAAAAAAACATTTTAGGACTTGAAAAACTTAATTTTTGTAGCTGTTTGCTCTCGCTTTTTCTGCTGTAATAATCGATAAACGAAAACTAAAACATGTCATGGTAACACCATATCTAGGGAATGACCAAACGTGACTTATTATCAGGCAAAGGTATAATTTAAAATTGAGATCAGTTCTTTTCTCCTCTTTTAACAGCACTGTCAGAATAATCATGGAACTGTTCTAGAAATGTAACACTACGACTTCTGATAGTACACTGAATGAATCTGTTCTTGAAAGGAAATGTTCAAAAAGGTTTGAGAAAGAATTTTTCGAAATGTGGTCTATGTTGAAATATCAGAATATCAGTTCAAGTTTAGAATTGTTAAAATCTGTTGTACGATTAGTTTTAAATGACGTAAATTAGAGCAGCTATGTGTTCGTTCGATTCGTAGATACAACATGTACAATGTATTATAACCATTCTCAAAGGGATTTTAGAAATCTTCTTTTGTTAGATACTGTTTTGGAATAGAGTTTTCCAAAAACTGTTCTGGAGTAGAACTGGATAAATACTTTCTTTTATAGAACTGTTCTTAGTTGTTCTATGTTAGACCGGCTTCTGTGAGAAACTGTTCTTCAGGAGTCAACATTGATGTATTTGTAAATTGCCTATAGACTTCTTCAAAATTATCAAAATTAATGCAATGGCAGCTAAAACATGTTCCGAGGTAGCGGTGAAACCCTGCTCTAGAAAAGGTTTATATCCGACGAACTTCTTCGAATTATTAAACAAACAGATTAGGTCGTTCAAATTTGTGAATAAAATTCCACGGCCACTTTCAAAGATCAACAATCAACATTAATATTTCCCAAATGACATATAGCAGTCGGATATAAGAACGGACTACTGCTGACGACCAATATCCAGAAACAATATATCTATCTGTCTTTTGTAATAAAATATATGATAATAGAGGCATTAACTATTTTTGGAGTGTAAAAAATTCTTTGGATGTTTTAGATAAATTACGTGCTTTTGGTGGTCCTATAAATTCTGTTGAC